AAAATATTCTTACTCGTGAAACACAAATCGCGTGCTGGCATTAAACTCAAGTTGTGAACCCATACTGTCAGATGTCCGAGTGAGTCTCCATTACATTTTATTCTATCGATCTACCATTCAGCCATCAAGGCTCTTTTCCCAACTTTTCATTGACATCATTGGTTCGAAAACTGTGGCAATGTCAACTGACCAGTTGCTTTTGATGCTGATTTCGGTGTTGTCTCCCTCATCGGCCATCTTTCTTTCGGCTGCTTGCTTGGCAAAAGCCTGGAGCTCTTTGACGTTGCTCCGGTTCCCTGGATCTGCGCCAAGCGTATTTGCTTCCATTCTGAGGTATTCAATATACCGCTTTTCTTTGGCCTGTTTCAGTTTGACTTTCATGAAGTGGTTGATGCTGTTCTGCTTGATTTTGGCTTCGGTGAGTGTGACTTCGCGAAGTTGCAGCTCCTTCTTTGCCTGATCAAGACATACTTTTTTGGTAAAACGGGAGTACTTCAAGAAACCAAGAAGAGAGGGTTGCAATTGCGCATCAAGTGGGCTCACAGTGATCTCGCCAGTTCTGTTTTGTTCTTGTTCCAAGTGTTCAATGAAGTCTTTGGTCGACTTTGCTTTTGTGCTATTGTTCTTATCACTGAGTTGATCTTTGATCATGGTCTCTTGGCGCTTGTATTCAGCTTTGCCAAGATCTCTTCGGAGCTCATCTAAGGTTGTCATGTTCTGCTTCAACGTCTCTGTGATTTTGCAACAAGGAACCCTCGACCGTTACCTTTGCTCTTTTTTGCCGGTGTATATCCTCTGAATTTTGATCATGGTCGATTGGCTTCTCTGCCTTATGGTCCTTTTTGACAAAATTGCTTGCAATGGCACACTTGTCCACTGCTTGCTCACTCTTTCCTGTCTTGTTCTATGCAGTTTCATCGCAAACTCCAAAAGTACCAAGTGTTTTCCAAGTACACTGAACCACACCAACCAAATCAGAACCTTGCTGAGCCAAGAGGTGGAAGGCTGAAACATGTGGTCCAACACATTCACATTCTGTTGACTACTGGTGCTCCTCCCGAGTATTGGTGTTACTGTGTCAAATACGTTGCTTTTGTGAAAGCAAGAACCTCCAAGAGATCGCTACGCTTTGGAACCTCTTGGGAATTTCAATTTGGAGGTGTTCCGGATATAAGCAAATGCAGATTCTCTTTCTGGCTACCTGTGTGGTTTTACACTCCAAGAGGAGCGTGTCCAAGACAGAGGAGGATGAAAGCGAGGTTCCTGGGATTCAGTCCTGACTCTGGTGATGATTTTACATATGTGATTGTCACTGATCCTGATTCTGACAAAGAACCACGTCGGATCTTTACCCACTCCGTCATCCGCCCGCGGCTTGTTCGCGAGGCCGCACCTGTTGTGGTCCGAGAGGGGAACGCACCATCTTGGAGGGAATAGCTGATCCTGATTTTTGACTCAACTTTCTGATAGGGCGCCAAATCCACTATTGACCATTCAAGAGGAGCCCAAACCCTTGGACACCGTAGAGGAGTATGAAAGAGCTATCAAAGAAGTATATGGACCACCTCCTTCGAAACGACTTTGTACCGACCCTACGTCCAATGATGCTTTGTTACAAACTGATCTAGAGGAGC